AGTTTTTCCTTTTATGTTAATTAAGTCATGTTGCTTTCTGAAATTTGATTTTGATTATGTGTAAAGAAAAAGATATTCAACAAAAATTTTAATATTTACTGTATTTACCAGGAGTCTAGACAAAGATGATCAAGAGATGGTAGAAATGTCATTGTTTCTGGGAACTTTTGCTATCCACAGAATAATTTTCAGTGAGGTGGAATTAAAAGAAATATAGGTTCTTTCTTAAACCTATCCTGTCACCTGCCTTTTTGTGATTTTCTTGATATTATTATCACTGGAGCATTTATCAAGTCTAGTTTTTTTTGGTTATGCTTTGCTTAATGTACAAAAATAACTCCACAGATAACATTGTAATTTATTTTTTAAGTTAGGCAGTTTTGAAGATGTACACAGAGTAAATTGTTAGACACTCTCATCTTTTTTTTTCCAGAAAGATGAGGCATTAGTCTATAACTTAGTACACATTCATTTCCATAGGAAATGCTTATTAGACAAGGTAGGAAAAGTAGGAAGTTTAACCAGTAAGAGTGTATTCTTAACAAGATAGTTTCACAAACACTCTAGTAGCGGGCATGAGATACACGGCAGTGGGTAAGGGCGATGGCGGGGTGATCTGAAGTACCTTTAAGATCTTGTATTTGATGAAAAGCCTGCAGTACTTCAATGGACAAGAGTAACACAGTGAAAATAATACATCACAACAGGCTTGCTGCGTGCAGTGTCATGGCTGGAAGTTTGTTGAGGAACTGGTTGTGATAATCTGGTGAGAAGTGGTGAATGTCTGATGAAGGAAGTTGCAGTAGAACCACATAGAGCATTTGGAAGGAAGTGTTCTGGGAGGCAGTTGAGTTTAAGGCATTTGGGAAAGAACCTTGCCAAGTATGATGCATTTAATCAATGCATTGTCATGTTTGGGGCCAACCTGGTGCTCTAGAGGTTGGAATTAAATGAAAAAATACATAGTCCATGGCACCTCCAAGTTGGAGAAGCCCTTTTCTTACAGGTGGAACTTTCAGAGTAGGAGTATAGAAAATTTTTAACTGTTGTTGCTCAGATGTTTATCACCCATTTTCTCCTTTGGCAAAATTATCTTCTTTCTTAGGGTCATCATTGAGCCTCTCAGAAAGTTTAACATCCTTATATGAAAAAAATATGTTAAGCTAATTAAAAAGATAAAATTGCCGTTAAAAACATTCTGTTTGTTTGCTGTGTTCTTTGTAAAAATGCTTTCTGTTATAATTCTTACAATTCTTTAGCTACATAGTGAAGAATAACTAGGATGCTTTAGCTTCCGCTCTTTTGTCCCTCTCCTCCTCCACTACAGCCTTGGGCACTAATAGAGCATCATTGTTTTGTTAGCTTGTCTCTACAATAACTCTCCACCCTCCCCTTAAAAGCCTCAATGCCAAAGAACAATGTAGAGCATTCTTTCTTGCCTTAGGCGCTAATTGTGTTCTTAGTTGGGATCTTGCTGTCACAGCCACGATAACTGTGTCATTGTACAGAGGGGCTGAGTCACAGTGGTTATTGTGCAGAGTAATGAATGCTGTTTACTTGTGGTGTGTTGTCGCCTGCATCTGCGGGTGAGAACACGCAGTCACTGTAATTTGCCTGGTGAGTGATCAGACTGGTGTAAAATAACATCATCTGTTGAGCAAGTTAGCAGTCACAAAGAACTATTGGCCTTTTAAAAAATATATAGAATCTTTAATGAGAAACTTTGAATGTGAGAACAGCTGCCTAGTGTGCATTGCACATTAACCCTGATTTTGTAGTGTATTTCAGGGTCAGGTTGACCTATGCAGACGTGAAGGAACTGGGAGTGCACGCACACCTGTGCTCCGGCTCATGTTGGGAAGAGCTGCTTAACTGACAGTAGATTATAGGTCAGATAAGTGATGTGACTACTACTGGTGTCAACTGGGAACCAGCCTTCACGGGAACGGTCTTCTTGGTGAATTGTGTGGATTCTGAAAATGTTATCATCATGATTGTAGCCTCCTTGCCTAGTTCTTATTGTTGGAATGTGGTGATACTTAAGAATTCTTTCTGAAGTAAAAGCGGTGAATTGTGTGGATTCTGAAAATGTTATCATCATGATTGTAGCTTCCTTGCCTAGTTCTTATTGTTGGAATGTGGTGATACTTAAGAATTCTTTCTGAAGTAAAAGGAAACATTTTACTGTCTTATGTAACCTTGATGGTCTTTTGCAAAGTTCTTAAAAATCCCAGTTTTGGAGTTGATTTTCTTAACTGTTCACATTCCACAGTTTCTTTCTCCCATCTCACTGCCCATTTTTAAGCACTTTTCAGCTGTTTGTCTGCTCATTTAGCATTGCTCATTAAAAGTGATCTGTGGAATGCATTTCAGAGTAGTCTTTTTTATCCTTGTTTCAAGTTTTGTCAAATTTCCAGCAAATATAAACTAAGTTGTTGCTTAACGTGAAGCTTAACCTGATTTATATTTTTTACCTATTCTCTGCATCCTGCTTAGTACATGTCTAATGATTGCTTTTCAGAGAAGTACATTTTGACTAGCACAGTGATTTGTATCCTGTGAAGGGACAGGAAATATTGTTTGGTGTGACTCACTCAAATTTTTACAATTTGAGGTCTTTTTCATGATCCTAAGAACTTAGAGATAGCAAAGGGATGGTAATTTTGGAGTGGGGATATATATTAATTAGGACAGGTGAGGTAATATAAGAAGTTTTAGATCATCTATGCCCATTGTAGGTACAATTCCTTTTTGTTCCTTATTTTAATTCTGTATCAAAATAGTATTAAAGTAATAATAGGTTTAATCCTACCTTTAAAAGTTACATGAATGATATGTGTTTAATGCAGAAAATTTGGAAAATATTTTTTTAAAAAAGAAGAAAATCCGAGAGATCACCAATAGTCTCTGCACCTGCCTTCTGGAATAGCTGTTGTTAAATTTTGGTGTAGATGCCCTTCTGTTATTTTGTAGAGCATTTTTTCATAAACCTTGTTTTGGACTCAAGGCCATTGGGAAACCACAATAGTCATTTTAAGTTTCTCCCATAATCTAAGAACAAGATTTTTGATCAACATTTGCTGATGTTAAATGTGTTGAAAGTTAACCTTAGAAAAAAAATACAGAACTGTGAAGTTATATTAAGAATATTTCCCACAATTTCTAAAGATTTCAATTTTCTTTGAGTTTTTCTTTTGACACTATCTTTTCTATATTATTACAAAACACTTGTCTTTATTCAGAAATACAAAACATTTCTAATGTAGAAATTAAACATTTTCATTTTTATATAGGCCTATTGGCTTTAATCAAAGTGAGATTGATTTACTTTTTTGTAATGGGTGTGTAAATGGACCATGATTCACAAATTGCCTATTTTTACATATTTTCTTCCTTAGATCAATGGCAGTCAGTTAAGATATTCTTATGAAAAGTTACTTTTTTTTTTTTTTTTTTTTGTAAATCTCTTCCCTTTGTCTTCCTGACAAATCAACATCTGCTTCTGTATAGCTAACTGCTGCTGTTTTCTGCTTCTGTGACAGCTAGCC